AGTCTTAAAAAAAAAAAAAAAAAAAAATCCTGAAATGTCTTATCTGCTAAAAAGCAGAGCTTCCCTCAGAGCTTCCACTGTGCTGGGCACAGTGGTTCACACCTAGAATCCTAGCACTTTGGGAGGCTGAGGTGGGTGGATCACCAGAGGTCAGGAGGTTGAGACCAGCCTGGCCAACATGGTGAAATCCTGTCTCTACTAAAAATACAAAAATTATCCGGGCATGGTGGTGCATGCCTGTAGTCCTAGCTACTCTGGTGGCTGAGGTGGGAGGATTACCTGAGCCTGGGAGGTTGAGGTTGTAGCGAGCCAAGATCATGCCACTGCACTCCAGGCTGGGCGACAGAGCAAGATTTTTTTTTAAAAAAAAAAAAAAAAAAAAAAAAAAGTGTAGCCTGGGAGTCTCCCTATTAAAAAAAAAAAAAAAGAAAAAAAATGTGGTAAGAAACCCATAATATAAAATTCACCATTAAAAAATAATACAGCAGGTAGCATCATGAATGCAATGTATTGATGAGGATGACGGTGATCTTCCAGAACCTTCTCTGACACCAACCTGGCTCCCAGCCTTACTTTACTGGCTTCGGTGCTCATCATACTGTGCTGCAAACGCCAGCTTCCCCCTTCTCACCACCTAGACTGTTAAATCCCACTGGGCAGGAACAACCACTCACCCTCCAGGTGCTTAATAAGGGTTTGTTGACCCGTGGACCTCCTGCTCTCCCTGGGGAGAGGAGCTGCAGCTACAAGACTCATTGGGAAGGGCATACAGAGCCTCAACCATAAGAAGAAGAGGCGACCAGGCTGAGGAAGATGGGCAGTGGAGCTGGATGGATAGTGACATGTAGAGAGGGTGGGTTCATTCATTCCTTCACTCATTCGTCTATTCTTATTTATTTATTTTGAGACAGAGTCTCTCTCTGTCACCCAGGCTGGAGTGCAGTGGTGTGATCTCGGCTCACTGCAGCCTTCGCCTCCCGGGTTCAAGCGATTCTCCTGCCTCAGCCTCCCTAGTAGCTGGGATTACAGGCGTGCACCACCACGCCCGGCTAATTTTTGTATCTTTAGTGGAGATGGGTTTCACCATGTTGGCCAGGCTCCTCTCGAACTCCCAACCTCACGTGATCCCCCCTCCTCGGCCTCCCAAAGGGCTGGGATTACAGGCGTGAGCCACCGCGCCCGGCCCAATCGTTTATTCATATTCAGCCACCCATCATTCATGCCCTGAGCCTGCGTTCTGTTCTGGGCAGCGCCTGTGCTGGGCACCGAATGAGTAATATATCATCTTTCCCTTCAAGGTGCACCGAGTCTGGGCAGGTGAGTAGAGAGAGGCTAGGGTGACATGGGAACAATCTGGGGGTTGGGAAACACTCTTGTTAACAATTCAAACTGTGGTCCCGTCTGAGATCTATAAATCCAAACGTTTGGGGGTGGGCACAGGGCTCTGCATCTCCAGACAGGATCCTCTGCTGATGATTCGGATGCACGATGATGTCAGAACGCTTAGTGTGGTCACTTTTGGACCGGGGGCTCTGGAACCCCGAAGGTCCTGGAGAAGGTGGGTGTTAAATACATCCATGACCGGCAACAAGAAAATAAGAGGGAACGGGTGTCCGCTCTGCCGATCAGCCTAGGAGCCGCGGCGCCTGTCGGCGGGGGCGGGG